ACACCGCCTTTCCGACTGCTGACTTTGCTAGCTACCGCTTCCTTTGGTGCTACATCGCCGTTCCTATTGCTGATTCCGCTCGCTAAGATGCTACTGCTTCCGTAAAACGATAAAAGAAGGTTGGTCTAGCTTTTTGTCACGGTTTTAAGAGCTATTCGCTAGGTAAAAGCCGTATGTTGATAAACTAAAGCTAGACGAGGAGAAAAAGGAAGAAAAGGTACGCCGTATAGGCCGCACCTGCAACAGCTGGCCTTATCCTCCGTGGGTGCTGGTCACGTGCTAAGCCCTGGCACTAGCCAGGGCCCTACTATGGGCATAGCCCATTACAGAAAGGAATACCTTTTACGAGTCCTTCTAAATACCGGTAATAAGGTACCTTTAATTAACGCCGCTAAAGTCGAATAATTACGCCTTTTTATTAACTAACGCTCCAAGGCTAGAACCTTAGTAGGATTCGACGGCTCGGAAATCTTATTAAGAGGACTTTAGTATATAAACGAAATAAAGCTCCGTAGCTACGAATATATCTACCGTATCGCTTAGGAAGTTAATAAATTAAACGTAGAAGTCGATACTATCTTACCCTAATAGTAAATAGAAGAATATCCCCCTTAAGGATTATTTACGGACGGACGGCTATACTTTAACTCGCTACGGTACTAGAGTTATCGCTTACGGCTAGCTTACGTAAGGATAGTACGAAAAGTAGAAGCTCTAGTATAAGTACCGGAATAATTTCGCGACTTCGTTCTTATTATAACTAAGGAAGCCGGGTAACGATTCCCGGATCGGTAACCGTAGGACTACGTTATTAAGCTCCGACCGGGAACTATTCTTCCGTAGGAACTTTTATACGCTATAAGCGAACGATAGCTAGACGCCCTAAAACCTTAGCTCGACGAAATAATAGCCATAGGAAGAATCCGAAAATCTAAGGCCCCCTGCGGCGTATTTATAATATTTATAAAGAAAAAGAACCTAGGCGTCTTAAGACCGATAGCGGACTACCGGGGGCTAAATAAAATTATAATATCCGTTTAATATCCGATTCCGCTAATTAACGAATTATAGAACCTATTTTAAACGGCGCGGTAGTTTATTAAGATTAATTTAAAATCTAGGTTCCATATAGTACGGATTAAGGAAGGCGATAAATGAAAAACCGCCTTTAGAACGCGCTACGGGTTATACGAATATATAGTTATATCCATGGGATTAATTAACGCTCCTGTTATCTTCTAAGCTATAATAAACCATATCTTCCGCGACCTCTTAGACGCCGGGGTTATCGCTTACCTAAATAATGTCTTAATCTATATTAATACGCTAGAGAAATATAATAAATTAATTAAAGAAGTCTTAAAACGGCTTATAGAAAATCATTTAGCGGTAGCCCTAAAGAAATATACTTAGCGAACGTAAGAAGTAGAATTCTTAGGATATAATATTAGCCCTAGGGGTATTACTATATCTAAAGATAAAGTAAAAGCTATCCTTAATTAGCGTATCCTAGCTACGCTTAAAGACTTATAAAGCTTTATTAGGTTCGTTAACTTTTACCGTAAATTTATACGTAATTTCTCGGGCATAGCTAGGCTAATTATTAACGCTAATAAAGGAGACCGTAAGCTATGAAAATAGGAAATCGAAATAAAGAAAGCCTTCTAGGAATTAAAAGAAACCTTTACGAAGGCCTTAGTACTTATATATTTCGATCCTAACCGAGTCTTAATTATCGAAGCCGACGCCTTAGATTTCGTTATTTCTACGGTCCTTTTATAAAAGGATAATAAAAGGAGACTAAAACTAGTAGCCTTTTTCTTACGACGACTTATCCTAGCGGAAATAAATTATAAAATATATAATAAGGAGCTATTAGTAATCGTCGACGTATTCGAGAAGTAGCGATATTATTTCGAAGGTACTTAGCATTAAATAAAAATATATTCCGATTATTAGAACCTAACGTACTTTATTACGATAAAAGTACTAAATCGACGCTAAGTCCGCTAGGCCTAATAGCTCTCCTCGTATTACTTTATAATATATTATCGCCTAGGGAAATAAAATAAAAAGGCCGATATTTTATTTAGATTATTATAATATCGCCTTAAAAAAGGAGGAGCTAAGGACTAGCCGATAGCGACGGTTCTATAGGAAAAGCATTTTTTAAAAAATTTAGGCTTACCTACGGTAATATTCTCTAGCGTACGACTAAGTAATATCCTAATACCTACTTGGACCCTAGAGTTCGTTAAATAGGTTAAGACGGTAACTATATAGGACCCGGAGTACTAGGCTTAGTTAGTTAAATTACTCGGTAAGGAGATAAAGCTCTAGGAGGGCCTTTTTTATCGGCGAAATCGTTTTTAGATACCTAAGGACCTATAATAGGAAGTAATTAAATCGGAATACGATACTAAAGTAGCGGGGTATATAGGTATAAATAAAACCATAGAACTTATTATTCGTAACTTTTAATAGCCTAACCTAGAAGTAATAATTAAGGAATTCGTTAGAGGATACCGCGAGTACTAATAAAATAAGGTATCCCGATATACCCCGTTCGGATTACTATAGCTTATAAAACTATATTATCGACTATGGTAAACGATTACGATAGACTTTATTACGGACTTATTAATATCTAACGGCTACGATTTTATTTAGGTTATTATAAACCCTTTTATTAAGATAACGTACTTTATCCCGCTAAAAAAGGACGGTAAAAAGGCTAAAGACTTAATACCTATCTTTATACGTAGTTATTAACGGCTATATAGGATCCCTTTAGATATTATTTCCGACCGAGACTTACGATTTACCTCCTATATATAAAAGGGCGTCTTAAAGCTTCTCGGCGTTAAGCCTAGAATAAGTACCGCCTTCTATCCCTAAACGGATAAATAAACGAAAAGACTTAACTAAATCTTAAAAGCATACCTACGCGCCTTTATAAACTACGAAATAAGCGACTAGGAAAGCTTACTATTTACCGCCGAATTTACCTATAATAATACCGCTTTAATAACTACCGGTATATTATTCTTCTACGCTAATTATAAGTAATACCTAGTAGTATATAACCCCCCGTTAGGTACTCCTAAGAATCTAAGAAGTAACTTTTATACTTACTAAATAACTCGGGTATATAACGAGGCTAAGTAGCATTTAGAAAAAGTACGGTAGCGGATAAAAGAATAGGTAGATAAATACCGAAAAAAGGAACCCCTTCTAAAAGTCGGATAACTCGTTATACTAAATACCTATAATATTAAAATTAAGCGCCTTATAAAAAAAATAGATAAGAAAATGCTCGGTTCCTTTAAGATCTAAAAGGTCGTTTTCCTTACCGTAGTAATTCTAATACTCCCGAAAGGCTAGCGGATTTATAGTACCTTTTACGTATTCCTTATCGAATCCTATCGCGCTAGTAATTAGGAATTACCTAACCCTAACTAGGTCCTACGGGAAATAATCCCGATCGAGGCAGAAGATTATAAGGTAAATAAGGTATTAGATTCCGTAAGGACCGGAGAAGTTATTAGGTACCTAGTAAAGTAATAAGGCTAGCCGGCTAAGCGCTACTAAACTTAAGAACCGTAGGAATACTTTACTACCGAAGGAACGAAGGGAGCCGTTAAGTTATTCTACCTATAGAACCCTAATAAACCTACTAATTATCGGGCCTAGGTATTACGCTTAGAGACGAGCTTCTCCGAAGAAGGGAGATAGTATTATACGGGAATAGAACCCTACGCTAATAAATTAGGCTATATAGGTTAAGAGGATAATATCGGGTATTAAGGCCGTTACTTCGGCGACCTATTAAGAAAAGTCCTAAATAAGCTTCGGATAGCTTCGGTATTAAGGTATAAAGGTATAAAGGTACATAGGTACTTCCGGGTTATATTAAAACGAGAAGGGAACGTAGAACTTGGAAAAGGATAAGGACCTAAGAGACCCCCTATAGAATTATTAGTTAAATTAAACCTATTCTAAGTATATCCCCTTGTCACACCCTTAGACTTCGCCAACCCTCCCCATGCAGAGGCGTGCGTTTTGTTGTTGCTACAAATATACAGAAATGCCGTCCTGAAATCAGAAATAGACGTTACACACATTCATCCGCGCACATATCGAAAAATCTGTTTTCGGGGGTCTTAGATTGTTTTACCGGCCTTACACTGCAGGAGTACCTGTTCTCAAATTCCTTACATTGATGAGAAGACTTTTCCTTATGTACATAGTATTCAATAGAGATAGATGTAAGACACTTCGAGGCTGTGTACGTTTTGTGCTATATGATATTGCTACTACATGCACCGTGCTGACCGTCGAATAAACTAGGACATATAATCTCATGTCGGCCTATTATGTGTCAAATCCCCAGACGCGCCACATCACTACGGCTGGGGAATTTCTCGTGTGTCACATTCAACTGCGTTCCCTTAGAGAGTTCATGGGGGTTCCTAATGGGCCAGCTGACGACTACCTTATGCTCTGTGCCCCGTATATGAGTGTAGGTAGCATTTGTGCTTTCACAAAGGAATGATTTTCAGCCGATAGAAACTCCGATTGGCATACTACAAACCTCACGACCCAGCCTAATATCCTTTTGAGTGACACGACTTGAGCACTTCGGCGTGTCTCAACCTATACGGGATCCAGTCTCAGTATCGACTCTAAGCTGCCTAGTGTTTAGGCAGGCTCTCGCACAAATTCTTCGACAGCGCATATCCGTCGCGCCCAAATCTTCAGCCTACAGAAGGCACGTACTGCAATCAACTGACAATGCTACACTACCTGTCGACCACCAGTGGTTGGGTTGCTGGATTAGCCGGGGGCCAAGTCGCGTTGAAGATATTATCGATACCACATGGGCGGCAGTAGGTCATCTATTGGCTCATATTATAATCCTTGTGAATACGTGAAGCCTGACGAGCTTCTCCGCATATGCTCATCAATGTACTTTGTACGAAGCTCTATGCAACGTCGAAGTGTTACACTATTTGACAATGCATGTAAGCATGTTTTACTCACCTTGAGATCCTATCTAAAACGCCCAGCCATCCCGACGATCGAGCCCTAAGTAGGCATTAATAAGCACATGCCGCGGTCTCGTCCGTTTAGGTGATCTCGAACTTCCGTCTAATCGTTGGCCACTTTCTCTTGATTGAACAGACCTTTCTCGTATAGTTAACTTCATATTACGGTGCCAATTTAACAACATCAAAATGTCGGTCGATTTATCCACACTTCCACCCGACCAGCAGCAGGATATCCTTGACAAACCAGCCCTTGGTGCGCCTCCTGGAGTCGAGTCGAATTTGGCAAACCCTTCTAACCGGAACATCATTCCGGAGGCCGTGATACCGATCTGTCTCGTTCTCACCACGCTAGCAATACTTCTCCGCTGCTATGCCAGGGTGTTCGTTGTCAAGAAAATAAACGTTGACGATAGTAAGACCGTCTGGGGCGGGGTATTTACGTTGATTTGCGATCTAACCAAGTGCAACAGTTCTCAGCTTGCTAGGCTTCGTAAGCCGATCTTCTCTCAGTATAGGCGATCTACTCCTGATAAACTTGCTAATAGCTGCGCATAGGGAACCTATATTTTCTATGTCTATAGCGTTTATCACACCACGGACACCGTTGGCTTTTTTGTACACCAATGGGACGTCAGCCTCAGACGTGTGTCGGGAGTCCAACATGTACACTACTGTAACCTCGAGATTGCATGTCTCATCTGCTGACCATGATAAGGGTCTACAAATAGCCGCTACCTGCTACACGATCACGCTGGCGCTTCTCAAAAGCGCCATCCTTCTGCAGTGGATCCGCGTATTCGCGCCTCAAGGCACCCGCGGGGCCTTTTTCGTAAGAAAATCCAGCATCCATTATCATGACATATCAACTAAGCACGATTATCGCTCTAGTGGACTTGCCATGTCCTGCTATGGATTAATCTCCTATTCTACCTCTCGACTACAGTCGCAGGCAACCTCATCTGCGTCCCGTTCCAAAGGATATGGGACAAAACGGTACCCGGCGTCTGTTACAATGGAAGACCTCTGAATATGACGATCGGCGTGTTTAATCTCGCCTCGGATATTTCCATTCTACTGCTCGTGCAGCGGGCTATCTGGAGCCTCAACATGTCGCTGAAACGAAAGCTTGGTATAGCATTAATCTTCGCCATAGGTGTGCTGTGAGTGAGACCTCGTAACAAACCCCGAAGTAGGGTCTGCTCTTTTGCTGACATGTCATCTGTTGAACCCCAGAGCCTGTGCCGCTGCTGCGTTCCGCCTAGGAGTGACGGTCAACTACATGACCGATCCGGACTGGCTATACCATGTGGCCGGGCTATCCATGGGCTGCATCGCCGAGATGACTTGCATCCTCCTCGTCTACAACATGCCCGGCATCCCCATGGCCTTCATAGAATCGACCTTCCTGTCGAAGGTGTTAAACTCTTTGGGCTCGTCCCTTCGCTCCGCAACTCGGCGGAGAAATTTCAACACTTCCGAGGGATCTGCCACGGCTGCCAAGACGGCTAGTAGCGAGCGAAAGCACAAACAGATGGCCAATTACGGAATCTCCCTTGTCGATTCTCACCGACCTGATCTTGAGCACTTCCCATCCACCGAGCAGCTCCGAGGCACAATCCATCGCGCCGTGGTTTCAACGGGTAACAGTCTGGACGACACTTCTCGGACGACCCAATTCAGTGCAGCGCCATAGTTGGTGCTCAAGCAAGTACCAGACGTGCTCTCATCGCATGCCTCGCTATCATAGAAGCCGGTGTAAAGTAGAGTATCGGGGCGTATTGTAGTGGTGCGGTGGGACTAGGTCACGTAGATAGCCTTTTGGACGAGTATTTGTATGGGTCTCGCACCCAGATTTTCATAGATTAGACTTAGACCTGTAGGCATCACGATCTACAGCAATTCACTCGTTTCTTGATATGCCTTCGACCTCCTTTTAGTCTTCCTTTTCTCATTCCTTTCCCAGCTGCCGTCTCAGCTGGCCGGTCAGCTGATCACAGCTACCGTTAGATTTGGTTTCGGTTTTCCTAGCCTGGTTATTCACCTTAAGTGTCCTGTTAAGTTCACTACGATAGGAGGGGGTGGCAGCGGGTCACAGGGGGTCATGACGTTTCCACTCTTTTGTCGCGCGTTGTTACTGTTGTTACCCAGATCCCGTGACGGCAGTACGTCGACTTATGGAAGCCCATATCTACATGGGGGAAAAGGCCGTTTGTGGCGGTGAACGCCTTATTTTTAGTGTATAAATCATTGGCGCCCCCAGAGCAACGAGCGTCACTTGCCTGGCAAGAAGAAAAAAACAAAGGAGAAGACCGTTAGCCATGGCCTCCGAAGGGTACATTGACGATGCCCAAAATTGGTCTAAAGGAGGCATCGGTGTTGATGCAGATATGCTCGACATTGTTGAGGCTATGGGAGGGTCGTGCATCGAGCCAAACGAGGTCCTCTCCCAGGCTGGGCCTATGGCAAAGGCGATATTCAAGAATTGGGACCTCCTTCGCGTCATTCTGGAACGACACGAGGCCACCATCCAGAAGCGGTGGATAAAAAAGTCAAAGCCCAAGCGTCGAGCCACTCTCCTAGCGGCCTGGCCCAAGATGTCTGAATTTCATCGGCCGGATATCGTGGCGTCGAGAAAGAAAAAGACGGGAGCGTGGGCATACCAAGCCTGTATGTGGCCGGCCATCAACCTGGAAGACCTATCCAAGACAGAACCCCTCCTTCTGATGCTAAACGCTAGGGGACGAAATCCCCCCGACGCGTTCACGATAGCCGATATCGACACAACTCGGTTCGGAATAACCAGCCGAACTATTAACATGCCTCGGTTCCTTAACGGATACTCCATGCTGTTTGCGGGGAGACGCAGCCCCGAGACATACGGCCAGCTTGTTTCTCTTGATGAGGAACCGAATTCCTTCGATTGGGTCATAAAGCGTGTTGCTCTCCTCCCGGGCGAAGGCCTACGGGCACTTGAGATCCAAAGCCGGTTGTACTCGTTCCTGGTCGACGTAACTAGGGCCATTTTACACGACATGACCACAGAGTCTCTTACCGACCCGGCCTTGGCCGTTCAACCAGAGCCGCCAATTGTATCAGCTAATTCCAACTCTTCCAATACCACCTCGCTTTCTGTTACAGCGCTCGAGAGCTCGTATCGCTTGCCTGCTCGTCTGGATCTCTCCCGTCTGAAGTTGGCGGTTGAGGCTAAGCTCTCTGAGGCCGAAGATCATCTATGGGCACTCCGTGAAGATCCCGCGTACTTTGCCATGAATATACTGGACTGGAAGGAACACCGCCAGGAGATGCTTGCGGATCTACGCGGAAATCCCCACCCGATCCACCGGTCCGGCTCGGGTATATTTTGGGATCGAGTTATCCGCAGTGCGACATTTACCGCGCTGCAAATGATCGAGTACTGGGGCATCCTTCTCGAAAAGATAACTTGTGTTGCTGAGCTCCAGGCGCGAAAATATCCCAACGGCAGCGTACGGTTTGAGGACAATCTCCCACTAGACTTTGCAATGGCGTTTTACCAACTACATAACCACTTGGTCGAGTTCCGAAAGGTCCCCATCAAGATGATAGTGGAGGGATGGGTCGCTTCACCACCCATGCGGCCCTACTGGCGGCGGAAGCCTCCACCGAATACGACTACGCCCCTAATCACCACGGTGTACATAGGAAACACTGAGCTAAGCAGCCCCGAAGGCGAAATGATGTCGGTCATATCGACCCTTAATGACGATCACCAGTTGTTCTTGGTCGGCCTACCAAGCCTAATGGATGAAATCGAGCGGCTGATGAAGGGGGATTCTGCCGCATCCCAGCTCGTATCTGGCTGGGTTGCCGAAAAAATATCCCACCTGTCTGTCATATCCGAATCCTTACGGCAGCTCGAGCTCTTTCAACCTTGGGCAGCGACGTTCGAAGCCGCTATGGTCGAACACGAGGACGAAATCAAGAGGGATTACGAGAAGACACTGAAACGTCTGCGGGCCCTTTACACCTTCGAGTCGGTCCCCTCTACGATGTGTTTGGGGATTCCGACTGATGGCCGGTTCAAGTACCCGGCCGAGAAGAGACGAACTAAGGAGACTGTGGATGTGATGCGGAGTGCTGAGCGAGCGCTTGACCAGTTCTGGCTAAAGACGCGGCACGACCTGGAAGCAGCAGGCGCCATGACACCTCGCTTGCGTAGAATTTTCTCCCAACGCGTCCAGCGTACTCCCGAATGGACGGCACCGACTGAAGTGGTGCGGCGTGCCGTTGCCAGTTCGGCCGCTGCCAGCTCGGGAGACCTGGCCGCGCCGTTTGGCGGCTTGGATCTGAAGGACAAGCCTAGGGATATATCAGTAGCCGAGCCTAAGGATATACTAGCAGCCCAGCCGAAAGTTAAGCTCAAGACCCGTGGTGCGCCGCGGTCAACCCCGACCGACACCACCGACACGCCCGGAGTCGACGTTCCAATACCCCCCAACCGGGAGCCCCTTTTCGAGGTAGATAAGCGTGCTCACAAGGTCTTTGGTTCGCTCTTCTTCGCCCCCTCCATCTCGTCCCAGCCAGGTGAGGTCTCTTGGTCCGAATTTCTCTACGCCATGGGCAGCATCGGCTTCGCCATGGAGAAGCTGCACGGGTCAGCGTGGCGGTTCGTGCGAGAGACTGGGGACGTCGGGCGTAGCATCCTATTCCACGAACCGCATCCTAGATCCAAACTATCATTAGTCCAGGCACGACGCATCGGGAGGAGGTTGAACAAAACGTATGGGTGGGAATGGGATCTATTCACGTTGCGATGAACTTCGATGTATGTTTCGTTCTGCTAGGATAGGCTAGAATTGGATAATAGTGAAAGGGATACGCGGTCTAAAGATGCTAATAATTAGCTACGCCTTAACTTCCGAGCAAAACTTCTCTATATATATTAATGCCTGGTATATTATGGCATGAGTGGTATTCTACTTTCCCTTAGTCTGGATTCAGATATTCGAGAACAATCGTCCAGTATTTCGGTGCATTATCCTTCATGTTTTCAATAGTTAATGACCGGATAATATGAACTCGGGATTGAATACTTTAGAATATGATGGCAGAAAATCCCATTTAATAAGTAGAGACACTCGCCGAGGCCTCTGTGACTCTGTGAAGTCCGTATATTCGTAGCTAGACAAGAATTAATATTAACTAGTTCTCGAGACAGTTCATCAAAGTTATATTAATGCCGATCTCCAGAAAGATAATATCACACACTTTGAGTTGCGGCATCTGGGTGACCCATTTCTAGTATGGAATTGTTACAGGAGGTTTGGAGTACGATAAATGAAACACTAACTATAACACTTTACCAATTCTTCGCACTGAATCCCCTTCCGGTTCTTCATACATTTCCAACAATCAAACCCACTTGCCCGTGGCAGGTAGTCTGCCAATCTGCCGGCGGTTGTGGACTGAGTAGTATACATTCGATGAAATGACCTGAAATAGGGACACCTTTGACGCCCCATGGGTTGTTAATTCCACTGTACAATGAAAAGAAAGTGGTGGGTAATCCTAGACGGAGGCCAGTCAAGCCGTGATGAAGACCTACGAGTTGCGTGGTACACCCACGTCGAATAGACCGGTTATCATCATAATTGTATGGATGCATGTAATTCGTCGCTTGGTCGCGCCTAGAGTACCACGGTGCTCCCCCTCCTCCGCCTGGGAAGATTGCGTGAACAGGAACGGGGCTATAGTCTGTCAGGAGACAGAACTAAGGACATTATGAGCAGAGAAGAGAATTTAAGGCGTAGGGGGAAATGATCACCCTGTGCTGCTAGGTGGTAGCAAAAGCTATTTTAGATGAAATCACCTAACAGTTCATAGAGGCGTAGGACTTGAATCCACTCCCGGAATAGAATCCCTGCGACATGTGGCCCGATGCCGCAGGTTCTCGGCTGTTACTATCGCGGGATGCCACAGCAGTCCTTGTACGCGTCTCCGTGCAGCGGACTCGCATAGTCCTACATGGCTGTGCCGCCTTATGCATAAGCAGTGGCTGCCTACTGTCAATACTGGAAAGCAGGGCGGCAGGGTGGCACAGGTGTGCGGTCATACGCGGACACGGCCACGAAACACTGGCAGATGTAAGAGGCAACCTCGGAGAGATCCCCTGCCAATTACGTGCACACTCACTGTCGTGCAATCGTACACTACCCTCTCCGGTGTGTTTCAAGTACTTGAAACATCATCGTGGTACCCTCCTCGAATCCATGGGGGTTGGCAGAAACTAGGGCTGGAAAGATCCGTCGCTGCCTGTCGCCAGATTATATTCGAACGGGAACTCTAGACATTCCCCTCCTCGCGGGTCGAAAGGAGTTCGTTAGGCGGCCAATATCTTCGTATTACAACATGCTCTTCCTCGCCACCCTTACCCTCTTTATGCGGCAGGTGGACGCCATACCGGTGTCTACCATCGTCACGGAGGGTATTTCCAGGCGCTTCGAGTATCAGCCCAATCCGACACCCACCCCCCCTGCTGTTGCTTTGAGAAGAGTTAAAGATGGGATAGTCAGCAGAGGCAAATGCGCAGGCTGGGATGAGAACCCTAGTAAGAGTGGCATTCCGACAGCTATTATCTCACGTCCAAACTGCTGTTAACCAACCGAATCAACATAGCTGGGCCCTCGCCTTGCGAGATCGGATCCAAACGTGACCCAAATCGGATCGAACCCGTTGCTCTGTGCGTGGCTCTCGACGAACCGGTGGATATTGTCCACACAGCGAGTTTAGACCACAGCTCACGCCGTCTCGGTCAGGGCGATACTGCGAGGTTGCAGACAAGGCGCTGGTAATCGATACGGGTGTGATCTGAGCCAGGAGAACATGGTTGACATAGCTCTAGGCCGTCGCCATCAGAATTGCCCTATGGCTTAACGACCAGCTATACTAGACCACCAACGAAGGAGACACACACGACAGTTATCTCGTACAGGCACAGCGAACCCGATCGAAGTAACGACACAACGCTTGGCAGGGACGCAACGGCGTCGAGTCTTCCTTTAGCGAAAACAATATACCACAGGAACGCGGTCGGATCACGCGGAGCCGCTAGCCAGTCCGGCAGCGAAGCCGGCGACGGCTGGTCGGGGGCGGATATTGTCGTGGTCGTGTGCTCGATTGTGATCGGACTACCGGCGACGGTCGCTGGCATCGTCGCCGCCTACATAGCTGTCAAGCAGTGGCGTAAAGAGGAGAGTTCCTTCCGCGTAGCCAAGTTGCTGCCTCGCTTCTCGTGGAGGAAACGGGAATCTGCCTCCACGAAGCCGTCGCCGTGGTTCCGGAGTCATAAAAAAGAAGAGCGGAGATGTCTCCCGTGGCGGTAACGGCATGGCTACATGAGAACAGACATATATAGATGAACGGGATAACGGAACAAGACCGCCTAAAAATGCGAAGGTTCAAAATTTTCAAGAAGATCTGGGGAGATACGAGTCTATAACCTAGTATCATTGGTCGGTATATCAGCATAGTGGCTGAAAGGTATCTGATAGTGAAGCTAGTTATACCATCCCCAAACCCCTGCGGTCTCTCAACTAAAGGTGGATGACACATATTATGACCCCAGAGTGGGAGTTGTAGCACCATTCGCAACCACTAGTGCAAGCAAGGGAGGGGATAAGAAGAATATGGATAAAAATAGGGTATGACAACGCCTGCCGCCTCATCGCCTCGGTCTTATCAACTGCCGTAGCATCCTTGGGAGGGAGAGGGGGGGGGGGGGGGCAAGGCGGGTACTAGTACCTATCTCTCCACCCGGCTACCTTGTCCTCGCCAGCTATCCTGTGATATTTAGACGTGCCTACATGACGCACCCACGCGACGTGGTACGAAGGCGACGAGGCGATTAGCCGCAACGGAAATCTCGGGAGCCCGCTTAACCGACGGGGACACGCGGGAGTGGGGTACCCACGGCGTGAACAGAGATTCTGCGGCGTGGTGAAGCCGAGCGCGACTTAGCCCTGTGGAATCCCGTCGAGGGCTGTGAAGCCACCGTGAGAGGCATTGAGTGAAACACCAATCTCCTCACGTGCTGGGAAAGGCATGTGCGAGTGCTCCGAGGGCAAAATATCTGCCTTTCAGACACCAGACGCCCTGGTCTGTTACCTCAATCCATCGCACCATAATCTCTTTCACCCCAAACCCCCCTCCCCCCCTTCCCCGCGCCGACGAGGGTAACAACAGGCCTCCCACACGGGTAAGACTCTCTCCCATAAATTGCCGTAGCGCGAAACGCATCAATGAGGGGACTCGTTCCCTGGGCGACGTCGCTGGGCCGCCTTCCCACTTTCTCAAGCAGCAACCCGACGCGGCGGACCAAGCCCTTCCTCGGCCCCCAGCATCCCCCGACGCCGTCACGGCTCTCCCCTCTCGCACGCCTGCGGCTGCAACGGCTCGACGAACGGCGTCGCGACGTGCCACCCGCGCACGCCGCGCCAGGTCCGGGGCGCGGGGAGAGGCGGCAAGCCGGCGCTGACGGTGGCTACGACGGGGACCACGGGCGGCGGCGCTCCGGCGCCGCCCTCGTCCTCGTCGGGCTCGTCGAACAGCCGCCGGTAGTAGTCGCAGGCGCCCGGGTGCGCGAACGTGGGCTGGTTGGTGGCGTTGCGCAGGAAAGCGAGGGGGTACGCGGCGGCGGCGGCGGCGGGGCGGGCCTCGATGGCGAGGAAGCGGGTGTCGTTGTCGCTGCCGCGGGCGCGGGCGTAGGTGGCGGCGCCGCCGTGGCCGGACGCGGGCGGGGGGCCGCGCGCGGGCGCGAAGGCGTACGCGTCGCACGGCGGGTCGAAGGTCGCGCCGTCGACCTCGATGCCGTACCCCCGCGCGCCCCAGATCGCAAGCGGGTTGTTGGCCGAGATCAGCGACGCCGGCGTCCACCGAAACGAGGCGTGCCCGCCGAAGGGGTCGACGAATGGGAACTCGAGGGAGGCGCGCTGGCGGGGATGCGGGCCGCGACAGGCGGGAGCTCAGTGCCATTCTCTCTGCGTCCCTCCTCTCCCCGCGAGCCCGGGGGGGGGCGCACGGAGAGAGGCGCGGGGCGTGAAGGAGACGGGCAGACTTACCGAGAAGTCGGGGATGGAGGCGCCGTGGGCGTAGACGCCGACGTCGTGGTCGTGGGCGATCTGGGCGAGCATCGGGTACATTGCGGGAGGGAAGGCGGGGAGGAGCTCGCGGTAGGCGGCTTCGACGATGGCGTAGGGCGCGGGCACGAGCGCGCGCGCTTCGGCCAGCGCGATCGGCACCACCAGCGTCGTCGCGTTGAGCCGTCCGCTCACTAGCTCCGGGTACCGCACTCCGTGGCGGTTCGCCGCGTCGCGCGACACGCACGGCAGCTCGCTCTCCGACGGCGCGACCACCCGTTGCCATGACGAGGCCCCGTGCACGAGCGCGAGCGTCAAGACCCGGATCAGCGACGAGCGCGCGAACTTTGTCAGCGAGAAAAGCAGCGACGACTGTAGGGCTGAGCTGGTGCCGTTAAGGTGCGCTGCGGGCGAGGTAGCAAGGGCGGCCATCGTTGGGGGCGGCGGGATCCCCGGAGGATAAACGGCCTGTGGTATTGTTGGTCAGAATCGACAGGCTCTCGGCAGCACTGGGAAGGAGATCCGAGACGTGGACAGATTCCTAGCGACGACGGTCTCATATACACGTAACTGGCGCCAAGATATCTCTCTATAGTATCCTTCATAAACGCACCCGGCAGCGCCGCTGAAGGGTACACGATAAGGAGACGCCCGGGAACGATCTCTTCAGGCCAGGGACTTGGCCGGGGGTTGCTGGCGGCTCGGGAATATAAGACCCGAAATATCGACCGCCAGGAGACGGAGGTCTAGACACCAATGAGCACCCAAGCCGCTACAACTGTTGGTCTCGGTGATCAGTAGGACGCGTCATAGTCAGACAGAGTGCAGACGCTAGACGAGTGAGCAAGACATTTTGGTCGTCATCGCAGCAAGCCCCCGGCCGCAAGGGACTCGCTGATCTCCTACATATAGTTACGTCTACATGCGTACACATACGGGTTCCGCCGAGAGGGAGAGCGGTACGGGGAGATCGGGCGCATGCGTGGGTGTGCACGTACGTCTGCATGGCTTTTTGTAGGTTCAGCACGCTCCTCAAGCTATGAAGCCACGGGGGACTGAGAACCACGCACGCCTGCCCACGTACGTACCAGGGCAATAAGGTGAAGATGTCCCCGATCGCCAATAGCGGTGCTCGCCCAGTACCAACGCCTTCCACCCTGAAACGGAACGCACTGGTTCCGGAGCGGGTGTTCGCATGAGCGCATATGCATGCGCGCGCGTGTTGGGAGGTTAGGTGAGCGGCGAAATGCCTACCCCAGAGATGGTGAGGGGGGGAAGATAGGCAGACAGTGAGATGGTCAGAGTGAGGGAGGGAGGAGAAGACTGACTGCAAGGCGCTACCGTGGCTGTTACCCGGGACGATCCTAGCAGAATCGGCGAATACGTGAGGGGAGGGCGCGGGTAGGCCACGATCCGCGCGAATAAGGGCGCCTCCCGTAGGTATTGCTTGTTCCCCCACGCGCCACACGCCCCGTCATATTATCGCCTGCATGCCCATCTCTCGGCACCGTGGGGATCCGACAGCGAGACGAGGTGATGCGATGTCCTCCTGCGAGTCGCGATCCCACCCTTGCCTGAAGATCGGACCCGAACCGACGAGACTGGCGCGTGGGTAGCCAGATAGGTGAAAACGCTGGACGCGCCTCCATACGCGACTACGCCTAGCCGGGGCAACGCGTCGCTCTGGCTGAAGGGTAGGTATATCCTCACGGCGTATCTTGGATATGAGATACAATTGGCCATATTCGAGTAGCAACATTAGGCCCTCGTTTTATGCCGCTGTTGCAGGTATACTATCTTGGCACACGACGGCGACGATGCGGCTGCTACCAGCATTGGGATTGAGGTCCGGGTACCAAACCCGGAGCTAAACCGCATGTGCCTCCTCTCCGGCGGCGCCACGGCCACCGGATGGAGCGAGACCCGGCAAAAACTAGGTACACATACTCGTGGATAGAGCGCGTGTAGCGTTGAAACCCTCTCTCGTTAAGTCGTGGGAAACGGCTCTAGGTCCCCCCGGTCTTGTGTGCTGGCTCTCCTCTTCCGTTGTAGTTTATGTGGCGTCGTGGAGGCTCCGCCGGCCGCCGCCCGCCTTACCACCGGGCTCGAAGCTGCCATAGTAGATCGAGTTAGTGTAGCAAGGGGCTCGCCGACCCTCGGGTCGTCCACGCCGGATACGCTGGCGTCGAGTCGTTGCATCGCACGTAAGCGTGAGAATCGACACCGAGCCTGCTAGGAAAACCGGTGCCTTTTTTGGCATCAGCCCTCCCGACGCCAAATTTGCCGCCCCACTCTGCAGGGCGACCTATATCCCCTAATAAGTAGCTAGGTAATTCAAAGAGCCGAACCTGTTACGTTGGTGAGATGAGCCCTACGCGCCTGCGGAGATCGTGAATGGCCTTCTGCAGTCTTGTCCTCTCCTTACCTGGAAACGCATCGCGGATGCACTGCTTTGTGTTATGGTCCGGCCCAGTCTCGCTGGTTCCGGGGGGAATCCCGTCCAGTGCTAGTGATGGCCTACTAGTGAGAAATAGGGGGACGGGACTTGTTCGTAAAATCACGTCTAAATACGGCACGTATCTCACTATCTATAATGGGTATCATTGTGAGACGATAAAAGGGTTTGCGGAGCCATTCCCGCTGCCTTGGTGGCCAGGAGAGGTGCTCGGTTGACCGCGACGTTTTCCATAGCGCGCCTAGCGCTGATCGAAGCGAAGCTTCACACGTACTCACGTATGGGCATTCCGGCATCCACCGTCCCGGTCAGGCTGAAAGATCAAGCCTATGTGACTCGTGGTTAGATCGCCCAACATGACAAAGGTTAGGAGGCGAACGCGCTACAGCGCGCCGCCGACAAGATTAACAATCCACATCGCAGTACGAACCTGTAATCCAACCCGCCTTTCGGGCTTTTCCAAGTCCTCGAGGGTCACCGGGGTAGCTTTGGCTTTCAGATGATCTTCCTCCGCACCGTATCGCCGCCTCAAATCCGTAGAGTCCGTGACGATCAGAGCACCGACCTCGAGGTCGTGCGAGTAGCTGCGCTCCGTATAGTTCGAGCTCCCGATATGAGTGATTGCCGGCCACCTTTCGTCGGGGAGAGTCACCCACAAGCCTTTCGCGTGGTACGACCACCCGCCCGGCTCACCAACCGTTCCGTCTTGCCATTCTTGGAGGGTAACGGCGGAACCCTTGTTCTGGTCTTTAACCGCACGGAGGAACTTCCCAGCAAGGAAAGTGTATGCATCGGGAAGAAGCCCCGAGACGCCCGAGGACTTGTAGAAACCGTTGGCATACGGGGAAGCCGCGATAACCACACTCTTTTGCGAAGTCGTCGCGAGGAGGAGATCCGTAAGCCACGGAGCCGGATTGAAGTACCCCGCGGTAAATGTCCACGACGAGCGGGCGTACCGAGGGGCAGTCAGCATTTTCAAGAGGTAGGTGATTGCCGGTAGCTCGGTCGACGTATCGGGCTTCATCAGTTGCGAAAACTGGCCGGTGATATGTACGGTCGTGTCTCGGACGGGTGTCTCAAAATCACAATCATCTCGGGGGTAACGGTAATCTCGTTGGCCAGCGTGGGGTTTTACTGCCGCATGCATGATAGGTGTGGCCTTCTCGACGAATTCTTCGGGTTGCTCCAGAGGATTCGGAACCGCGTTGTCCGACGGCCACTCGAGGCGGAACCCGGAGGCATCGTCGGAGGGGAGTACCCAGAAGCTCAGCGACGAGACGGTATGGATGAAGTCCCAGAAATAGTTTGCCATCTCCGCCGAACGGTACAAGTGGTATCGATCCTGGCGATTGGTGAAGTAGTCGGTGGAAAGATTCGCCCTATTCGAGATCAACAACGGGACCCCCCTCGTGAACGAGAACGAACACATACCCAGTGAGAAAAACCTCGCTGTCCATTCCGTAGAACTTCATATGCTGCAGACCCCATCCCTCGTTGATGCGCTTGGGTATAATCATCTTTTTCAGGCCGGTAAGATTGGGGCTGTGGTACATGCGAATCTGGACCCGGCCGAGGCCGAATTCGGCAACAAGAGGAGCAAGGAGGGATGCGCAGCAGGGCTCAGGGGCCTCCCGCGTCCCGCGTAAGGCGTCGGTGAGGATAACCAGCCGCACACCGGGTTTTTGGCGCAGAGTGTTTTGGAGTGTGGCAACCTTGAAGCAGGTCAGCGACGATACTATCCCTGGGAGGGACTGGGCGCGTAGATTTCCCTCTCCATACCAGTTCATGTTGATCCTTGCCGATGTAGAGAGTAGACAGGAATATTCTGCGGTTGGCGTTGCGAATCCTGGCCTACCCGCGTCAATTAGCTCCTGCTACGTCGTATTTCGGCAAACAAGGCATTGCCTACTAGTAGGGTCTCATAAAAGCAAGATGGGGTCTTGAAGATAGACACGTTATCGGCGGCGATCTTGAAGGACGGCGCGATCTGGGCAAGCTCGCTCCGCAGCGTTCCCAACTCCCCCGTAGTGCTAAACCGCATTTGCGGGATGTGCTTTCTGGATGAGATGATTGATGCGACTTCATAGAAGTACTCCATTTCCTGGCGGGAATCTTTGTAGGTTTCAAAGTCGGACTCGTGGTAGCTTCGTGGAGACACTAGGCGAGTGAGGGTGACGGACGACCATGGCTTGACACGGGATCGCAATGCGCCCCTGGCGATGCGTATTGCCGACATTGGTGATGGAGGCTTCCGAACAGGGTGATGCAGGATGTGGTATTGCAAAGGTAGCAGCAAGCTGGCTGATCTTTAGCCTCGCTGGATTGTCTCGTCCGAGTTGTCGAGGTCTTGGGGGTCGTTGCCGACATCAACGGGGATAATTTTCTTTTATAGGCGAACACTTCGATAAGCCCATACATTCAATGCACTGTAGTCCGCTGTAGCTCTTCGGTAGCCCCACCATAGCCTTGCTGTACAATGACGTTGGGTGCCTCAGCTTGGGGGTTTATATAGGTGAGTGAGGGCTACATGCAATATGGTGGATGGATTCCATTATGCGTATTATCTGGGTGCTAGGCAGACAGGCCCATTGATCGCATTTCACCATATTCCTGCGGGACAGGGGGCAAACAACCACCAACGACTCTGGAGTTTTCAGTTTGCTTGAAATTTTACTGCCGCTGTATTCACCAGGATATACAGAGTAGGTATGAGGCACATGTTCATATATGCGTACTGCTTACATTGGCTGCCTGCCTACCTACCTAGGTGTGTTAAGCAGCATGCTTGGAAGCGGGCTATGCCTCTACTGTGCTTTATGTACCTACCTAGGTACCTACCTCCTAGCAGTTAGACAAGTACCACGTACCCACATATCCTAACGTAGTGGCAGACCCCACAGCTTGATTATGTCATCCTCGTCGGCCCAGCCGGTCAAGCTGCATCCCTCCTCTCTCTCCCTCTCTCATCATCCACCCTCGCCAACCCCGAGAGAAAACCATCCGCCACCAGCCGGGCTCTCTCCGTTGACCCGCGTCCACCATGTCCACCATCACCAGAACCATTAGGAATCTGTGGCGAGTGGGCGTCAAGGCAAGCGTTCCGCTGCAACTCCCATTGATTTCCCGGCTCAACTGCTAACTGGCCTCGCTCTAGGACGCTTGGCACCAGCTCCAAGTACGTTGAACCCCTACGAATGCGCCACCGAGTTGAAACTAACCAGCGTCCCTCCCCACCGGTAACAGTATATTGGTACGGCTCGATAGTTCTTCGGAACGGCGGATCTCTTAGCTGACGAGCAATAGGCGACACGAAGGCTGGCGCTTTAGTCGGCGTCGACAGGTTCGGCAACAAGTATTTCGAGGACAATGAAGACCTTCCCCGTAGGCTTCTCCCACTCACAATGCCGCGCCATGCGCGACTAATATCGAGGCCCTATAGTTCGAACACGATGGGTGGACTACAAAGTGCATGACTTCGACCCGTAGGCTTTCTCTTGGCTGGCCGTATCGCTGAATGCACCACTAACCCCGCGGTAAAGCGCGCAGATTGAACCCGGCTGGCACGCGTGGATATCCTACGCCGTCGACAAGCCACCAAACCAGGACCCCATACTTGCATACCGGAGACGAGCGTGGGAGGATACCGACGCCAAACCTATCCCGAACTTGACGTTAACTCGAGGCGCTTACAAGCCGTATAACACGTACGGGGCCGAACATGGCGACATATCCAGACTATTGCTAAACATTCTCTAGGGTGAAGGCAAAGGTAACGACGTGGGAATCCACTGCCGCAGAGAGGAAGTGATACGGGACGGTGTATCTGTGTATATATGGGAGATGGCAGGGGCCCAGAGGCGGAACGAGCAAATCCAAACTGTCCACCACCGCTGCTGCTCTTCGGCGTGCTTATACAACAACAAGCAACATCTCGAATGGAATGGTTATCACACCATCGCCTTGGGATTTATCACCCAACTTCCAGATCAGCAGCGACCATGTTATACTGAACTGCACGAAGCCCCGAAGAAATGGGACGATTGCGCGGTGGTAAAGCAAGCAGAAGAAATGTCCCGCGGCAATATTTAACCTAGCGATTCTCGTTTTAGGAACCGCCTTCACTCCTATCTGAATCACGTCCACGACACAATTCCAAGAATTTAGTGATGATCGTACACGTGGGCGCTTAAGAATTGGAGGAGGGGCGTAGGCCAAAGTGCACCTGGTCATGTAGCGTCTCCCCCTGGGCATCGGTTAGAAGCTATGTGGGTCTAATACTGAGACATTGTGATAATCAACCGTCAATCGCTCACTACGACTTCGCGTCCGCAGCATCTACGTCTTCACGGCAACCCACTTAGCCAAGTCCCGAGTCTGAGTATGAGATCTGGGGGGATAACGGTGATAGACGTGGCAACGAATAATTAATTCCCCAGAAAACTGTGCGACAACAATAGCGCGATAGCCTTCGGGCTCTTCGTTCGCTTTCTTCGGTGAGTTCGGGTACCATCATTCCCTGACGCATAATACGCTGCGTCTGTGCCCTCGAGACTCAGGCCTCGGCACGCTGAATAGAGGAGTTAATCAAGGTCGTGCATTCTAATATATCTGGTTGTAGTGCCATTTATTAATACCCGGCTACCGCCCATTATCTGCTACATACATCCCGCCGTCCCCATAACCCCTCACAGCTTACTTTACAACAATATCACACAGCACGTTGACGAGGCTTCTCAGTTGTTCTTGTTTCCCAGCAGTGCCTGCAGGATAGCGGTGATGAATTCCGAGAGCGTCGCCAGGATCTAAATCAGGTGTTAGTGGACAGCCTTCCTCTATGCAAATTTGAAATAGTTCGGGATGGGACCAGGAAATGGGGGCGTTGGACTCGAAAATGCGGAGGAGAAGGGGGGAAAGAACTCACCGGTGTTGCGTCACCTATCAGCTCCGTCGTCTGCGTGACAAATCCCGCCGTGAGCAGGCTCTCAGCGTTGGTGAGCAGCGTCAGGATGGCCTTGGCCGTCGACGGCGTGATCAGGGGCGTGATCTGCTCGGTGATGCCCTGGAGATCGATCTGGGCGAGCGTGGCGAGCACCGGCTCTGCCCGGTCGACAAGCTTGGCTAGGTCGACTCCGCCGAGCGCTTTCAGCAGCGGCACCGCTCCTCCGATGAGAGTGCGTGTCTCGTTGACAAACTCGCTCGTGAGTAGCGCCTCAGCGTTGCTGACGAGCCCGACAAGCCCGCCGAGCGACGCTGGCGTGAGCAGGGGCCCCATCTGGCCTGCGAGGCCGGGGAGGTCTATCTGCCCGAGCAAGTCCATAAAGATCTTCATGACCTCGACCAGAACGCCGAAGTCGACCTGCGAGAACAAGGCGGCGATCGCCTTCACTATGTTGACAAGGGTGGTGATGTCGATCTTTCTCAGCTCTTCGATCAGCGGGCCGATCTGGCTGAAAAATCCGATGATGTCCCACTGGGTTATGGCCTCGATGATGGGCGCAATCTTCGAAATGAGGCCGATGAAGTCGATCTTGCCGATGGCCTCGAAGAGGGCCATAAACTGCGCGAGGAGGGCTGGTAGGTCGATCGCGGTTATAGCATTGAATAGCGGCAGTAGTCTGTTCCAGAGATCTGCGAAGTTGATGTCCCCAATCGCGGATATCAAAGGCGCGGCGCTAGACATTAACGCCTTGGACTCGCCTACGAATTCGTTGGTTAGCAGGGCCTCGGCGCTGCTTAGCAGCCCGACGATCCCTCCCACTGACTCCGGAGTAAGCAGAGGCTCGACGGCTAGCAGGACACCCGGGAGGTCGACCTTTCCAAAAGTATCGAGTAGGGGCTGGAACCCGTAGCTGAGGCCTTGCACGTCGATGCTGTCCAGGCCCTGAAGTAACGGACCCGCTGTCGAGAGGAGAGACTTGGTCTGGTCGACAAAATCCGGTGTTAGGAGGGTGCCAGAATTCTCCACGACGCTGACCATTTTCCGCACGGACACGGGAGTGAGGAGCGGCTTGAGGGCGTCCACCATTCCTTGCATGTTGATGTCTATCAGGCCTTCGGCGAGCGGCACCGAGAGGCCAAGTAGCCTCTTGAGCGCCTTGACGACGTCGGAGGTCAGAAGGTCCACAGCATTCTTCACCAAGAGCACGAAGCCGTTTATCGCGTCGGACCCAAAGAGCGGCTTAAGAGCATCGAAGATGCCCTTGAAGTCGATGCCGTCAAAAAGATCGAGGAAACCCTTAAAGTCTAAGGAGGCGAGAAGATCGACGAGCGGCTCTAACTTGGATAGGATAGCCCGGGTGATCGTCGGGACCGGCGGCTGGAGCACCGCCGCCAGAAATATCGCGACATCGTATACGGCTTGGAAGAAGTCAGTGGTGAGTAGTTGCTGGGCCGCTTCCAAATACCCGGCGAGGTCGCCAAACTGCGTGACGATCTTCGTCAGGCTTTCCAAGGCCTTGTTGAATTCTCCGAGCCCCGGAAGCTCGAGGCCAAGGTCTTGCGTGGAGACGGTCTCAGATTCGGAATTATTGTCGGTTTTACTCTGCCGAGGATAGAGGGGGACTCTCTGCTGCTGAGCTTGGTTCTTCCGGAGCAGGCCGTTGAGCTCGGTCAGCGCGTCGGTGAGGTCTGACCGCGGAACTAGTGCTAGGTTGTGCCTCTCCAGGAGAGCATCGAGATCCAGTTCTTGTGCCGGTGCGGCGCCCGGCGCCGTGTCAGCGACGATGCTGACCGGCACCAAAGCCGCGACGAATAGCTGCGAAAACCTCATGGCGGTCAACTAGCTTTGGGGGAGTCTTCGCGAACGCCGTTCTCTTCTCTTGAAGCTTAAAGGACTGCTAGCCTAGCTCGACGACAGACTACAAGATGTGGTAGATGAGTTGAGAGACTTGGGCTCCGGACACGGGCCGTAATATGTGATCTTCGTCGCCCTTCCCATTCTCGTCACATGTGTCTTGCGCTGGTGGTGACCCAAGCGACGAGATGAGAGGGGACAACCATCGGACGTTATGCCGTCTTGAGGGGTCTGCCAAGCTACTCACATGGATCGTTGCCATCTCGGCTCTAGACCGTTCTATAGTTTTTGGCCCCCTCCCCTAGCCCCCGTGTCTCCTCCGGGATGGCGTTTTCGCTCCCGGGTGGAACTGCGGAAAGGATCAGGGCAGGCTGGATCCGTGGAACCGAGTTGTCAAGCCTCCCAACCAGCTGATTCGACGGCGGGGCGCAGAGGAAAGTTGAGGTTGCAACGATGAAACACTGCGTCGACCATGTGCGTTTTTGTCACGCCTCTCTCTTATTCGACCCGGCGACATGAAGCCACAAAATCACATCGCCGCTGGGTCGGTAAAAGCAATACCCGCCAGAACTCCTCGTATTGTCTCAGTCCTCCGCTACCTACATTTATTCTCTGCCTGGCTGAATGACCATATCTCATCTCGCCTCCCCCCTCCCCCGCTGCGATGTTTTGTCTCTCCTTGGGGACGACTTCACGCCAATACGCTGCGGGCCAGTTTCAATTGCGCGGGCCAGCTATATAAGCCTTCGTTCACACTCTCACTTATAGACGGTTTATGCTAAGCCTTCCACGACAGCTGAACTGCCGCACCACCACCCCACACAGCATTGAGGACTATTAGATGCCCTGGGGGACATGCTGGAAACGGGAATAGAGTCACACCTATTTCTGTCTCCATTAGGCAAGTAGGGTGCGCAACGGCAGCGTGACATCATTTCTTACATCGCTTCGCTCCAGGTAAAATTTGAGATCGGCTGCGAAGAATTCCTAACTAGGATCATGCAATGCCGGTCCCCACAACACCATCACCTCTCGCCCCCTTCGGCGGGATGTGCGTGACCGACGCACAACCAGTAAACAACCGGGCAAACTTCTCAAGCTGGCCTGCCGACTGCCCATTATCGGGCGCCCAGTACATAATGTAGCCAGGGCAAGGTTACGTGCAGCCCGAAGGTATGATTGAGCGCGAGGGTGCGTGTGGAGGAATACAACTACCGTGAGGGGTTGGAAGCTCCCCCGGCTGTCGACCATGACCTCGACGGCCTTAGCAGCTATGGCAGGAGGAACTGCCTTCAGACAGGTGGAATGGCTTGTGATCGCCGGGTCATCGCCATCGCCTTCCTTCTGCCTCTGCGCTGGTAAACATCAATAGCGGTAGCCCTCGGGTGCTCGTCCCATCGTCTCTCTCGTCACGATCTTGTAGTTGAACGCCACTCAGGACAACGCGACAATGGCGTCGGCTTCCCAGGAGCATACTTCGCAGTACGACCGCAGTCTCTCGTCTTCCGCCCATGGCGGCCAGGGCGATAGCCGCGGAGGACCATCGAAAGCCCCCGAAAGGCTGGGCGACGATGCCTCTTTGGAAGATCACGTTCGAGAGAAGGCGCCGGCCGCTGCCCTTCTCACGAAGAAGCAGAAGTTCAAGCACCATTGCAAGCGGTTCTGGTGGGCGTACTTGATAGGGTCCATCCTCTTCCTCGCCGCATTCCTGCCCATCCTGTAAGTATTCGGTTCAGGGGGGTACACGAAGGGGCAAGTCGAGAATTGACAAACGACGCAGGTTCAAAGTGGTCATTCCGGTAGCTGTGCAGCGAATAATCGACAACCAAGAGATGCCCGTGTTGGGTGGCGCATTCGTCGCCGTATCGCCCACTCAACTCAACATCTCTATCACTAGCGTACTCGACTCATCTCTACCGGCAAACGTTGACCCTGTGCAGCTGTATATGTACAACAAGGAGACCCCCGAGTTCTCGCCCTTCGTCAATGTAACCCTTCCGGCGATGCGCGTGCACGGGGAGACGAATGTTGTTGTTACGGATCAGACAGTTACAGTAACCAACGAGACGGAACTCGTCACCTGGTTCGGCGAGGTCTTCGACCAGCCGACGGTTACGCTCTCTACCCGGGGCGACGCGGAAGTTCGCTTAGGGGCGCTGCGTTCGACTGCGTCCATCGACAAGACCATCGAGGTGGCCTCGCTCGACAAGCTAAAAGGGTTCGGCATCGAGCACATCCAGCTCATACACCCGGCGCTCGAGAACGGCACGAACATCAGGGGGACGCTCAACCTGCCGAACTGGGGCGCGCTGACGCTCGGGATCGGCGACCTCTCGCTCAACCTGATGTCGGGCGACCTGCGGATCGGGCTGATCACCATCTACGACGTGCTGATCTCGCACGGCAACAACTCGCGCTACTTCGACGGGGAGCTGTACCTCGACGTGCTGGGGCGGAACTTCATGACGGTGGTGCGGAACAACGCGGAGGCGCTCGGCGCGGGCAGCGTCCGCATCGACGCGACGGGCAACGCGACCGTCGTCGACGGCCAGCACATCGGCTTCATCGAGGCCGTGCTCAACCGGCGGCGCGTCACGTCCCTGACGCCCGTCGTCCAGCTGCTCGGCGACCTCGTCGGCAGCCTCACTACCGGCAGCAGCGTGTCCATCCCCGACCTGCTCGACGAGGTCCTCGGCAACACGACCCTCGTCGAGAACGCGCTGCGCCACTGGCCCGCCGCCAAGCTCGCCGCCGACCCGGCGAAGCGGTCCCTGCCCTCGCTGCAGAAGGACCTCCTTGGGCCTGGGATGGAGCTGTTGAAGCTAAGGCTGAAGGCGAAGCTCGCGAGACTGTGAAGGGAAAGGATGGGGGTGGTTGTCTGCGGAGCGTTGGTGGTAACGACGGACGACGATATTATAGTTGGCGTCCGGTAAGGATCGTAATGTTAAGCTAGTCGTATGTACCTACCTCGAACAGCACACACCGACTAACACTCTGCCGGCAAGTCATCGCATAATGTCAAGCCAACGCGCATGGGTGACGAAGTGTGTGTGTGTGTGTGTGTGTGTGTGTGTGTGTGTGCCAAACTAGATTATCGAAACCCCGATTAAATTGATGTCTACACTTACCTGTCATAATGAGAGCTTGGTGAGTCGTCTCACTAAACGCTCCCAGCTATTATTCTTCTGTCGGGCGCCGGGCTGTGGTAGCGTGGCTGGACCGTCCCGGACCTCGTCAGTCGCACAGATGTCCGTCGCTCTACGGCGGTCTTGCGGTGGTATTCCCGGGAGCGAAATTCGATGCACACTAAGCCTTACGAGACCGCCGTGAGTAGTATAAAACAGGGCTACCAACAAGTGCCGTAGTCGCGGTCAGCTAGCGACGTGTAGTTGATGGAGAGGTTCTGATCCATCCCGCGATCCCTGATCTTGGCTGCTCGAAGGTGTGTGTACAACCGACTCCCCCACACGCCCCCCATTATGCTAAGTCGGTAGAAGCTTTGCCAAGTTCGCGATCGGTGCGTCGTAGGAGCCACCAGATCCTGGAAGTTATCACGGCGCTGTTATTACCTAGGTATGTGGTAGGGCAGCGGAAATGGTAGGTACCTACCACAGGATACCATAGGATCGGAAGCAATGCCAAGAGGCACTGCCGTGTCCAATGAGTTGGAATGAGCTCTAGAAAGGAGACTGTAAATGGACGCGCGAGATCACCAAGAGGCCCTTACTGGTCAAGCTCCCGTCACATAGTTTGTGACAAGAGGGGATGGTGTCAGCAATCTCGATATGAGCAGGACCTGTGAGAATATGCCTTTAATGGAGAACACAGCATCATCCAATTCATTCAATTATCTGATAGTAATCAGCATTAGATTGAATGCAGTGCCCTAGCTAACCAACCAATCAGTTTAGGCGTGAACGGCAATGCCTCTCGTCTGGCATTTCGGTCCATGTTTCACTCTCGACAGCTGTCCTCTCGTACACGGCGTGGTCAGGGTCATATTGTTCTTTGATTCCTAGCAGGCGCAGGTAATTATCCCCGTAGAACACATGTTGCCGATTTAGTATCGTCAAGAGAGTCGCGAGGAAATAAATGCAAAGTGATACCCGGTTTAAATGTGGGCGTCCACACCATTATCGGTATAAGGTAACCTTTCGCACTCCATTAGCAGCTGTGGGCACTATATCGTGTAGGGGGAAATATTATAATATGACCATGTTACCCATAACGAAAATGTAAGCCTCTATGAGTGTTCCTGTGATGTTACGATATTCGCCGCATAGTGTAAGCAGGGCATGATGTACAACGTTACTATCCACAGTGCCCATAATTCCCCTGTCAGCCTATCGGCCGCTTTCCCAGAAGAAACAAGACAATGAGTTGCCACAATAAGGCCTAATATAGTAGAACCCAACCCCCGTACCCCCAGGGCCCAGAATTGAGTACAGATCAGAGACCAGGTCCATACTGAGATGGCAATGGTACACCGAGAAACCCGGTCCCCCAAAACTATGGGGGCCGTCGAGCGGCCCTTGACTTCATCTCCCTCTCGGTCCTTGAGATCCTGGACATGTATGGTCGACGATATGACGCCACTAACCATGGCTATCCATATGGTCCCCGTGTCTGTAAGCGTATAGTGCGCGAAGGATCCGTGCGCAATCCTAAGGGAACCGAGGTTGAAGAACCCGAAAGCGACTGCTATTGTGGCATTCCGCAAGATCCAGTTCTCATCGCCCCCCTTAAGGTCATTGTATAGCCAAGTGAGGATTTGGATGAGCGCCGTCTCCGCCCCAGCGCCCAGGAAGAAGTGGTTGCCAACGAGAACGGCGGGGATGGAGAAGAGCATCGTCCGGCGGGCTTGGACGCCGGTAATCAGGCCGCTGGGAACGGGCCGCCAGGGCTTGTTCAGGGAATCCCCTAGCGCCGACTCGGGAAGGCGCTGGTTGGCAAGGCCGAATACCAGCAGGTTAGACCAGTTGAAGAGGACGACGAGCGGGAGGCGAAGCAGCACGTCGGGGGCATCGTTTGAAGGATTGGCGAGTGTCGGACCCGCGAGGGCGCCAAACAAACCGAAGATCGTATTAGGGACCACAAAGGTCGCGGAATCGTCCTTCGTCAGAAGCCAGAAGACGGTTATAAGAAATGTGAATCGCCTCCAGGGCCGGCTGATGAGAGATGTCGAGTAGGCAAGCCATGTTAGTTCCTCTCCCCAAAGACTTCCTCGAGTGGTATTCAAGGACGAGCTGTGTGTTATGGTCCCGGTCGCCTGTATCGACGCCATAATACTATGTCTGTAGGGTCATAGAAACAAGACTGAAGGTGGTGGATACGATATTGATACGCTGAGAAAGCCAACATTATATACTATTCCGGGGCGACTGCTGACTTCCGTCTGAGTAGGACCTACCAAGTGTCTCCCTCCGGCCGTAGCAAGTTAAGCTGGGATATGATTCTACTGTAGAAAGTGGTACATCTATCGTGTATCTAAATGGTACGTTTACATCGCCAGCTCTGTTCTAAAGCGATTATATGCACATGAGAGAAATGTACCAGGGCCAGACTTACCGTGACTACGGATCTGCCCAAGTCCGCATCATAGATACGGCAAGCTCCGCGTAGGAAAGATATTGCGAAGCCGCATAAGCTTAGGTACGGGTAAGTGGCGCAGCTAATTAGGGAGGCAGTTATGAGAGTCATAATAAGTAATTGGTGATAACCCCAACTAGTGGCGTGCGGGCGAACAGGTGGGATCGCGCCACGGGGGTGATATACCCAGCGCTGTACTGTAGTTTCACGAATGCCCATACGATTTCTCCGTAAGTGGAGCGGTCGAGTTACGGATAGTAGATTAGGCCAGTAGAGGTGAGATCCCTCCCTATGCGATAGGGTTATTAACGATCGCGATCCCTACCGTCCTCTTTAGGCTTCCCATGTCCCGTCGACGCCAAGGTAATAATAGCCACATAGAGTCTTATACCCTAAAGGTCATACCTCTTAACGAATAATATCGGTGGGCTACCAGCAGTCCCTGGGCACGAAAATACCTGCATAATGTTACTTGGTCTGGCTAGGCAGTAGCCCGGTCTTTCATATCCTGGAGCGAAGCGGACATTGTAGTCTTGTAGAGGAGTTACGGTTACTAGGTAGAGTTCCGCGTAGGTCGGAGTCTTGCCGACACACCGACGATTCCCTGGTAGTGTAATATCCTGTAGGCATCCTGTTCATGATGTCTTTATTCGACTACATCTAATATGGGGGCATGACTCCGACAAGCAACGCCCGGGCCGAACTTCGGAGTTGCAGATACTAAAAGAGGCCGCGTGAGAGAAGCTCGAGTGGTATCGCTAGGGAGAAAAAATTAGTCTCTTCCTCATTTTTCTACTAATGAGGGGAGAGGGGGCATAGGAAGGCGAAAACAAGCTAGGCAAACCTTCCTGCTACGAGACAGCCGAGATAAGCGTTCCGGCTAAGGGGTTTCTAAGAGCCGTGTCGTCTTTTACAAGCTCGATATCTTTGTACCCTGCGATAAACCATGACACCATGCCGGACCTCTCCTCGTTCTCACCTCTCTACAAGAGACAGTCAGAAGGACGGGTGTATTGGACCCCAAACCGAGGTCATGGGCAAGCATACCGTGAGCCGCGTCCCCATGCCCTCGTCACAGTCCTCCCCAAATACCGCCACTCTCGTGGCATCGAAGGAGAACCAAGACATGGGCACCCCAACGTCTCAGTTTAGGCGAGTGAAGGAGGAGCACGGGCCTTTCATCGAGAGCGACTATGTCCATGTCCTTCGCCTGTCCTTGTGCTCGAGTTCACCAGGCGTAAAAATGACGAGATTATCGTGGTTTCAAGACGTCGTACCAGATGTCCTTTGTATTTTCGGTATTCCAGCTACCCAGCGCCTAGATCCCTCCGAACGAAAGATGTTAATCTCATTAGGGCCCGACATGAATGCATAAGCGGCTGCGATTTAGCCGCCGCTCGTGGCACTCCATGCGAATTAAAAACTCCATAATAAGCGACTAAGCCGGGGATGATTACTAGGAGTATATTATAAATCATGTTTCCCCTCCTCTCTCATCGCCTCCTATCTAAAGCCCAGAATTAGACTAAACTCCAAGGAGACTCCGGTTCTCTCACCACCACGTATACTCTTATACGTGGAGGGGTAATATCATTTCCGAGATAGGCCGAGTCTATTATTCACATGGCTCCTGATTCTATTTGGACGGTTAACAATACGGGCATAGTCGCGGAGGCCAGATTGATTATTCAGAGATTGATTATTAGACCACGGCACTCACGCTAAAGAAGGCCAGCGTTACTTGATACTTAGTAGCAGCTTCTAAAAGCCACGAGTATTTTCGCTAAGATATACATTCACATAGCTCGGCATATGTATAAGGCTTCGGATTGTTAAACCGCCCTCTAAGATTTTCACCTGTAACAGTAATGTAACTCCAAGGTTTAGTGGGCTCTAAAATTTAGCATTCCTACGTACTCGAAAGACGAAGTCCAAACATAGGATAGGTACCTGGAATCTTCCAACAGGATCTGCGATGGAATTTGGGACATATTACCTCACCACTATAAACCCCGTCTGGCAAAGGCTTAATGGCAGTTGGCTGGCCTTAATTAAGGCGGGACGTTAGGGCGTTACGGAAAGGCAGGAGGGTCGCATAACTAGGTAACCCCGAAACCAGTAATACAAGGCTACGTGAGTAGAGTTACATAACATAGATCCCATACTATAAACTAGGACGGACGACGGGATTCGCCTCACATTAGGTTAACTTAAGTAGGAATCTCGGCTTGTAGGTTATGTTCTACAAGACTTAGATACTTAGGTATACGATGATAGACTGAAATCCAAAAACTCATCGTTATCTTCGGAAATCCGATCGGACACTTCTTCGAAGGAAAGATCTTGTTAAGGCAGTCAAAGGCCGCCTCTTCTTCCACACTATGGAGGCTATAGAGTCGTAGTCAATATCGGAAGATTTTCCCCGCGTAAACAACAAGGACAAAACCCTCCGTTATACTAGTTAAGTCTTAGTCGAAATTCCTTTTTAGATATGCTATCACTTTACTTACGGGCCACGTAGTTATGAATTGAGAGAGGGAAAAGATTGGGTCAATAAGCGACTTCAACGGGTCATTCACCGTGTCGTACTATGAGTGTAACTCGAAAGGCGTTGTGCCTTGTGCCAGATTAAAGCGACGACCGTGTCCATGATCGATTTGATAGGCAAGCCGGGAGCGAGATGACAGGTTATGGTTGACGCAGAAACGAAGGTCCCGACAGTAAGGGCGAAGTAGGATACATAGGTGGGCAAAAGCTGATAAGGTGCGTATAAGTACTTTGAGTGTCAGGGTGCGTTGGACTTGCGTTCAAGGCACCCATGAAACTGAGCGCTTACTGAGCCTCGAAGTCTAGTTGGTGAAATCCCACGTCCAGCAATCCGGCCCGGTTGAGAATATGATGGCTGCTTGGGGAATCGTCAGTTGACGCAGAGTACCGTAGTCTATTAGTTGGCAATGAGACCTCTGCCCCCACACGAGAATTTCTTATTCCTTAGCAGCCCAGCTATTGCTGAGAAACTAACACTTACGTCTCCGACGCATAAATGCGACTTACCTCATATGAATCCATTCTTGGCTATCCTACCTGCTGTAATTCCATAACGGACTATAGGCTAATCCCGGAGCTGGGTTGCCCAGGAATCATGTGATGATGGGGTGGGTGTGCTTACACGGTGGAAGGAAGCGAAATGCTGTTGGCACGCAGGACTGGCCCCGGCAGCTGGGTCAAAACAACGTCGACGTTTTCTCGCGAAAGAATCCCTAAGAAACCATATGAGAAGCAACCTAAGCGCCAGATCCGGTATGCTAACGTGCCTTAAGGACCATTTGCCCTTACACACAATTACTTCCAGCGCGGCCTTAGGCGCAGCGCCCACCTCTTCATTATTGTCTTTTCTCCTCTCTTCCTTTTTTTTCATGGTCTCGTGTTCCTACTTCTTGATCGAGCTTACTTACCTACCAGTTAACCCGTCTGATAAGCTAGGGCACCCCTTCACGGGCCACCCCTTCACGGACTACCGCGTTAGGACCTACGAACGCGCCTTTTAACGCGACGCCTTTACTTAAATAACCTATAATTTCTCGGTTAGTTTTAATCTTTAGTAATTCCTTTTATTATTAATCTCTTCCTAATTTCTTATTAATTAAGATAATATCTTTTAAAAAATAGTAAATCCGTATATAAGCCGCTATTCGGAAGGTAATATACGGTACTAATATCCGATAAGCTACCCGTTTATATAACGTCCCTCGTTCCTACCTATTACGCCGTCTCGCCGGTAAACTAACGAAATAAAAGCTAAATAAAAATCGGTAGGCTTTATTACCGATCTTAGAAGCTAAATTAACTCGTTATGTTATTTCGTAAGCTAGGTTAAGCTTCGCGCCGGCCTTTATTTAATTTAGGTTTATAACCGAACGCCTATTAAACCCCGACGGCGGCTCTAAAAAGCTAAGGAAGTACTAGCATTACCGTTTTTTAAAGCGAAACCCGGAGGTTAAGGCTTCTACGGCTAAGATCGTCGATTATAAGCGGATTAAGGGCGCTACGGCGGTAAATATTAACCTCTTTTTCGACCGATTAAAAGCTCCCGAATTATTAGCCATTCCCCCCGAACGCTTCTTTAACGCCGACGAAATAGGTATCGCATAAGGCGTTACCGGTAATTACTAGGTAATTTCCGAAGCTAATACCTATATAGTATTTAAAAAAGGCGTCGAAAAAGGTTAATAAATTATTACTCTTAAATATATAGGCTTCGGCGGAAAGCCTCTTCCTTTTTTAGTACTTTTTAAGGATATCGACGTTTAGGCTTAGTAATTTCCTAACGATTCTTATAATCTTTAAAAGGATTAACGGTTCTAAGCGTTACTTAAAGGATAAATTAATAATAATATCGCGTTAGGTTAACTTATAGATATCTTTATTCCTTATATTCGGGTTCGTTTCGGTAATAAATAAATCGTTTTAATTCACGACGGCTATAAATCGTATACCTACGACGCTTTTCTTACGTATTATCTTTAAAATAAAATATAACTCGTCTTTTATTAGCCTTACTATAGTTACGTCGTATAGGTTTTAAATGTCGGAATATTTAGGTTATTAAAAAAAACGGCTTAAAAGCCTCCTTAGGAAAAGCTAAAGTACGAATCTAAACCTATGTCTTATTAAGGTCGATATATTAAAGTCATACCGATAGGCTAGGATCGATATA